TTGCATCCCTCTTTCCAAGAGCACTGCCACACACACTGGCGTGCCCAGGGACCCTCCACTGGGGCCGCAGGGAGCTCTCTCGTCATCTTTGCAGAGGGGAGGATGGTTCCTGCAAACAAACCGAGAAAATGCAGCACAGCAAGGACTGCCAACATGCTCCCTGTTCCGAAGGCGGCTGCTCTTTAAATCTAGAGTGTTTCAATGCATGCTATTTAAAAAGGAACTAATAAAAGCTATTTATATGTTTGCTCAAGAAGAAAGTTTGCAACAGTGGGATTTTTTAATTTTCATTTTTCCTTAAAATCCCCCTGCTCTCATTGTAACAAGATTGATGATTTCTGTGTTTCTCCTTTTAGGAGGATGACTAAAATAAGTTGTCAGCTGAATTTCTCTTTTATTTTATTGCAAGTTTATGACAGGAGAAATGTGGCTAAACTTCTTATTTTGTCCAATTATTTTTTGACACAGAACCCGGGGTCTCTCACAGCTATTCGTTCTATATTGTTTCAATCACATTAAGACTGAAAGGAAGGATGTAAGCGACTAGTGATGGCCAAGTGCTCATGACAAAGCCTTGGGACAGTGGGTGAAGCAGAACTGTGTTTCCCCATACATGAGTTTCATGCTTAGACCTGGAAATCACCTGATGGTGAAGTGGATGCTCAGCCCTGAATCACACATCCCCATACTCTGGCAGATAGGTGACGACATGCGTTTGTACGTAGATACACACGGATCAGCAGGTGCATTAAATTGATTATGTAATGCGTAGGTAGCAGATTGAAACTTGGCATCAATGTTAAGAAATACAGACCATTTGTCTGTAAAAAATGCTTTTAGTGGCTGACTTACTGTATCATCAAACTCCAGTGACATGCCTCAGTGGGGGAATTCAGTGTTTAGTATAGGATCTAATTCTGGAACTTCAGAACATAAATCCACAAGTCCACACCTATGAATTAACTTCATTCCTGTTAGACTCAATGGAATTTCCTGTGGGTAAATTAAGGATTTATTGTCCCAGGTATTGAAAATTAAATGACTGAAATCTCCTTTCCTCATCTGCCAGAGAGGTCATGGAAATTTCCCATCATATATATCTTCTTTACCCTTGTACTGCTGCCTTTTAATTGAGGTTTGGCTCCACGGCTTCATTTACACCCAGGGGCAGCAGTCCAGTCTGCAGACCTGCATTGTTTGTATGGATGTAATACACAATTTACTGTAGACTTCCTCTTCACTCTTTACATGCTACATGATGTCCTGGCACAAAGGATGTCTGTATCAAGGCTGTGTCATCTCTGTGCATGAGCAACCCTGGACAAACTGTCCCATACCGAGATAACAGTAACTAAATAGTCACGGATGAAAAAGGCGCATTTCCTGCAACAAACCCATGCTTTTGGTCTTCAGCATCAAGCTAGGATTTGACTTCATGTGTTTTAGAGGTTATAAGTATTGTAATAGTGTATTACTGGCCCAAGGCACACATTGCCTGTTTCCATGTAAGCAACAGGGAGCCAGACTCTGCCCAGCCAGGCAACCTATGTAGATGTCCATAGATTTCCTTAGATAGGCGGGTCCTGGGTGGGCTTTCAATATTTCCTGTAATGAAATTTAGCTCTAACAAAGTTGTTCTGATCACTTTGCTACATCCTGTGATCTAACATCTCCACATTTTAGTTGTTACAAGAATTTTCAGGAATTTGAACATTTCAGCATCTCTCTGGAGCGCCAAGAGCAGCAGGAAGTCTGGAGCTGGTTAAGGCATTGCACAGGCCATTGACAGAGGTCTTCTCTTTCCTCTCTGACATCTTTAGCGTGAATGCGAATTTATATTTCAGATCTACAAACCTATGGCTGGCTTTAAAGCCCTCTCTGATTTTCCATCATCCAGGAATGCTTCAGCAACCGCTTTGTTCTCAGCCCCTGGCTGTGTGCTGCGATCTATCGGCACTTCCCTTTCCAGTCAGCATGGGAATGTTGGAAATAAAATATTGTGTTTTCAGACCAGGACTTGCTGACCTCTCGGGCTCGGATGCCGGCTCCATTGTTTGATACGTGTTAGAAGCCCAGGCTGGAGACACACTGCACAGGTCCCCAGGGCAGGAGGTCGCCAGGGCTGGAGGAGGACTCCAGTCCATCAGCACTGGGATGAACCAGGTCTCGGGAAATACTGGACACCCTCAAGCAAAGCAGAACAAATGTACATGAACTTCTGCAGGAGTCAGGGAAGGAGCATAAGGAAGGGATTACCAGTTTTGTTTCACTGTCTCCAAGATGATTTAGGGAAAACATGGAGAGTTGGAAAAGACATGATTTGGGATTGGTCTAGAAGGTACTCAGTGGCCAAGGAGGAGGGGGAGGGCAGCTTGGCGGCACAGGCAGGGAGATGGAGACCTCTGGGCTGGAGGGGTGGTTTGGAAAGGTAGTATCAGAGCTACAGGTGGACAGCGTGGTGGCACCAAACAGGTACATCATCCCTGCCACCAGAAGGTCATCACTGGAGCCTGATCACCCCAGATTAATCCAAACCAATTTTTAGCTTGTTTGCTTTTATTTTCCACCCTGCACTCACAGCACCCTGCCCATGTGTGGCTACAGCAGAACCACAGTGCACAAGGTCTCAGCATTTTTCTGCCAGTTCCCTACTGCACCGTGGTCCCCTGGGGCCTCCATGAACATCATCATCAGGTCTGGAAAATGATTAAAAATAATGGGGAAAAAAAACCCCAAGCAAAGAAACACAGACATCCCCACAAGTGCAAACAACTAAAACGGGCACAGAAATAGCAAACAACCTTTCAAAGTTTAGCATAATTTTAATTTCACTGTAAATGGAAATTCATTGCACTGGTGCTGCTCCAAGGTCCATGGTGTTTCTGCCCAAAAGGTTTGATGGTGCTTTAATGGATCAGGTAGAGAAATACCTCTGTGGAGCCGCCAGCTCTGGCTGCTGCGAGGGACTGGGAAGCCCTTAGCTCTGACCTGGCAGCAGAACTCAGGGGCCCCTATGGTACCATAAACTACTTTTTTTCTCATTCTAATTCAAGTTAATGCTTGTTACCATTCTAATTCAAGTTAAAAAGCATCTTACCTGTAATGTACCAAATTACAGTGCTCTGGCAGCCAGAGAGGTAAACACGAACAACACTTGGTGCTTGCAAGTTATCAAACTCCAAAGATACGAATATTTATATGGCAAGCTACAAGACTCCAAGTTTCAGATCATAAACCCCACTGAACAACCGCATCAAGGAAGCAGACACCAAACCATCAAGTTAAATCATTCAGATCCCACTCCCTCCACACTTCCTGCAGCCCCTGCCCATGGGCAGGGAAGGCAAGGGAGATTGCCTGCAGCTGGCTGGGCTCCTGGAGGGAGCCGAGCATCCAGCCCTGGGTGCCAGCCCTGCCCCAGCCGCTCTCCCAAAGCAAGAGAAGTTCAACACAGGCAGAATAACATTTCTGAGCTGTCTGGAGCCCCATTCTCAGAGCCACCCACCAGCAGCAGGGCCACGGAAATCAAGAGATCTGGCAACATTTAGGATCGTGGGAAAATCAGGCTATGAATTCAGAGGTATACAGTCATTCAAGCTGTACCCCAACGGCGAACCCTGATATGAGACATAAACCTTGTGACCACAGGGCACAGGCTCGACTCAGCAGCACCAGCACTAGCTTTACTCAACAGACTTTAATCGGTGTTTATTTTCCAGATCATTCCTCTCGCTCTTTGTACCCCAAGTGCTTTTGATGACACCTGGCACATCCCCGCTGTCACAGCTGCCCAGGCACCATTGCCACCCTCACCTGCCTCTGCTGCCCTCCAGACCACAAGCCAACACCAAAACTCACCCTGCAAACACTACAGGAAGTCGACAAGAGAATATTTCTGAAAGCAGAGCTGTGCTCTGCAAGCAGCTTTGAAAAAAGCTGTCTGCTCCCTCTGCTACTGAGTGGAAGACACCAATTACAGTAAAAAGCATTATACTAATTTTTTCCTGATTTTTCCCCCCCTCTTTACTCCACCTTTTTGGCAGCAACCTTTTGCAAAAAATAAAATACATTTTCATTTGAATTTGTAAAAATTCAGATTTTATTTCTGCTCAGCCTTGACTGGTTTCTGAGTTCATTTCATCACTCACAGACTTCTCATTCATTATTTCCCCCTCTTTTCCTTTTTTAGTTTCAATCTTTTCTACAGAACTTCCTCCACTTTGGAATGATTTGAGAGTGACACAGAAAAGCAAACAAACTGGGAATTTTCTGGTTTTGGAGAAAATTTGAGAAGTTACAGAATGGAGAAGACAATTAAAAAAAGAATAAAATAAAATAAATTTTAAAAATTACATTCATATAGGAAGGGGAGAAAAAGGAGGAAAATCGGAACAGTTAAATATTTTAAATTATTTTTCATCAGTATTAAATCTTTCAAATTGCTCAATTTCAAACCTGAAAGGAGCAGCACAGGCTCATATAAACAGTAAAAGAATAAAGTACACTGAGATTAAATAAGAAGGAAAATTACCTGTTTACATACAGACAGAATGTGACTGAGGAAAGCAGAAAGTCCTTGCGTGCTCGAATGCTCTCAGCAGCATCTACAGCCACTGAGACCTTGTGCCTCTCAGAAGCAGCGGTTGAGGGGCTGGGGCTCAGGCATGTTTCTAACCATGTTTCCTAGCTTGCAGGCCATTAGGCTGAAGAAAAAAGCTGCATTTCACAATGCAGTGGAAGCTGCTTAGACCCCAGCAAATGTCCTGGTGCCAGGGAGCACTCCTGGATGGTGGCACTCCATGACCTGCTTGTGTTAGACCTCTTGCTGCACAAAGCTCTTCCTGGGCCACACTAGCACATGCTCTTACCCAGTTTCCCGTGGTCCAGGAGCCAGAGGTGAAACAGGTCCAGGGTATGGGGTATGGCAGTGGGATGCTCAGTATCGGAGTGGTCCCAGACACCCTCGGTTTGCTGGCATGGCCATGGAGGTGCCAGGAGCTTTACAGGTAGGTAGTGGCCTCTCGGCTCTCCCTCTCTCTAGCCTGTGCGACAGCAACGTTGATGCACTGAAGCCACTCCTCAGCATTCTTCTCGTCTTTGGCCTTGAAAACATAGGTTTTGCTGTCAGTGAAGATCTCAAAGGCCCGGGGCAGGCTGCGGTCCCTGCGCTTCTTTGCCACCACTCTAACACTCTGCACCTTGCTGAGCTCAATGGGGCAGTCATTGGGGTCATCCTTCTGAAACACAGGGAAGACAGACAGAACCGAGTTCCTTTGGTAGAGTTTCCATCGTCTTAATAAACAGGTGATGTCTCTAGAACTGGGCTTGTAAATTTTGCTCGTGTGGGCAAACGCACTGATGGAGACTTCCCAAAAGAGCCTTAGGGGAGTTAGAAACCCTGTTCCCATGCAGTGCCACAGTCCCCCATGTGGGCTGTCATGGCCTACTGCACGCAACAGCCAAGGGTCCACGCCGATGCCCATGAGCTGTTCCCCTCAGCATCTGCACTTTTTAGTTCCTGCTTCAGCTGTTAACACAGGCTTAGATTTTCCTTTCTCTGGCTTTCAGTAACGGAGACCTCTGTTAATGGTGCCAGGCACAAGGCGTGCCAATGGCAAATGCTTCATAGGTACAAACATGTGGACTGAAGAAGGCTATCTTCTCTTAAGCAGTAATAAGTTGTTCCCCTTCTCAGAGTCTACACCCAAAAATGGAAGCAACAGCTCCTTTTATTGGTTTTGAAAACAGAACAGGTACCTTGAATCTGACCCAGGAATGTGAAGCATTTCTCACTGAGGAATGGAAAATACAGGACAGCTCCCTTGCAATTTTGTTTGAAAACATGTAAAATAGGTATGTCTAGGAAATCTCAGCACTGTTGTAGGAAACATGATGCAGGGAGCATAAGAGAGAATTGTACAAAATCATGGAAGTTTCCTGCAGGAGAAGAGGTTTGTGAGCTCATAAAAAAATGTACGAATTGGGTCTCCAGGTGAGAAGTTTAAGCCAAAGGCCCTGATTCCTCAAGCATATTGTTTTTTCCTGTTCAGCTTCTTACGCTTTTTACTAAGAGGAATAAGGCAGATTTTCCAGAAGCTTTCTGCTCCTATCATACTGGAAATATCTGGACTGTTCTGTGTAAGAATTAGAGATTAATTATCTTTCAGGAGCTGAGCATGACCCTGAACAGGCTGCAGTATGGGAACTGCAGTCTCCAGAACTGCTCTGCCTGCCCCAGCTTTGTGTGCTCTGCCAGGAGGTCAGGTCTGAAACGCAGGACCAGAACTGGGCAGGGAGACTTCTCCTGCAATAATGTCTCAGTCCTTCTGGGAATGAACCAGGAAAAATTTACTGCTCTAAGGAAAAACTCATCTGAGAAGACCTTCCAAAAGAAATGCCAAGCCCAATGGCTGTGATTTCTCTCTAGGATTTGATAGTCCACTACAATTAGAATCATGGAATCATTGAACCAACTGGGTTGGAAAAGACCTTTAAGATCAAGTCCAACCATTACCCCAGGACTGCCAAGTCCACCACTAAATCATGTCACTGAGGGCCTCATCTACACGTTTTTTGAGCACTTCCAGGGATGCTGATTCCACCACTTTCCTGGGAAGCCTGTGGTGAAATTTTTCCAGTCTAAACCTCACCTGGCACAGCTTGAGGCTGTTACCTCTTGCCCTATTGCTGGTTACTTGGGAGAAGAGACTGACCTACACCTCACTACAACCTCCTTTCAGGTAGAGAGCGATAAGGTCCCCCCTGAGATTTCTCCAGACTAAACAACTCCAGTTCCCGTAGCCGTTCCTTATAAGATTTGTGCTCCAGGTCCCTCACCAGCTTTGTTGCCCTTTTCTGGGCCCAGTCAATGTCTCTCTTGCAGTGAGGGGCCCAGAACTGAACACAGTATTATGGGTGTGGCCTTACCAGTGCCTAATACAGGGGGAATTACCACCAATCTGCCATTTTTCCACATCCACAACGAATATTCAGGATGTGTTTCCCAACTTTTGGAACAATTCTGTGTTGCATACATATGTATTATTTGTAGTCAAGGTCTCCTGCATTCTTGAAGTGCCATAATTTTCGGGCAATTACCTCCTTTCTGACTTGGCAAAAGAGGCTAGCACAAATCCCGCAGCAGTGCCAGCACTGGGTGAGCACAAAGACCCCTCCAGGATATGGGAGGTCCCTGGGCTGTGAATGGCAGTGACAGTGAAGAACCATCATCTTCCTAGCATGTCTCTGTCCTCTGGCGCTGCTTCTGCACATTCTGGGATGGGGCATTTATTCGTCTGTCTCATTCTTTTTTTTAATCAGGGGCCCTATTCCAGACCTGAGAAGTTTCCTTTAGATGGATAATTTTCCACTAAAATCTTCAGTTCTGACAAAACTTCCCATGAATAATGAAGTTCATCTCCACATTCACATGGGAACATATGAGCCATCACGGATTGCCTGTGCATGACAATGGGACCACAGCAGTGACCCACCCTCCCCTGCTTCCACAAACACCAGTTAAGGCTTTATCAACAAACTAAGATGGCTTTGCACTGAAATCCAACCTGCAAGAAACATGATTAGAGTTTTATCACAGAAAATGCAAAACAGCAATAGATCTGATATCCAAAACTTTGTACCCTGTGAACCAAACCCTTACAGTTAGAAGCCTAACTAGGAAAAATTATATACTCCCTTCCTAACAATCGTATGATTCTATGATTCATTACCATGCAGTGTTTGACCTCAAGTTGCTAGAGAAAGTTGACTGTACCCTAGGCACATTTCTGTGGAAGGAGTTTAACACAATTTTCCAGGAGTTTAGAATTTGGCTCTTTCTCGGACCTCTTATGTTTTGCTTTTCTTCTGCCTCCCCTTTACCCACTGGCCATACAGTTGCTTACATAGAACCAACATTGTTCATGTGGTTACTCAGACGAAGGGAAGGTTCATGGTGGGACTCCAGGAATAAGCAGGCACAGCCAGCTGGCCACCTCACAATACATCCTCTGTCTTAGGTTTGAATTTCTAAGTGAGCAGTGCGTAAAATCCAAACACCCACACAGCACCCAGCCCTGCTCCACAGCGCCAGAGATGATGGGACAGAGCTGTCATGCTCTGCCAGGCAAGCACCGTCTGGCTTTGATGACCAAAACAGGCACCAGATGCAGCTGGGCAGGAGTGTCTATGGCTGCTTCAGCTGGCCACAGCCTGGAGTCCTGCATCTTGCTATGCTTTTGGCACCTGTGTTCGGCTGGCAAGGTGCAGGGCTGGTCCTGCCACTGTGTGCCAGAGGTGCATAGGAGCAGACATCCCATGGGGTCTGAAAATCACACTTTTATTGTCCAAACCACTGTGTCCAGGCTTCATACCTCCAGCCCTGCTTAAAACGCTTAAAATGTTGTGTTTGTTGTCTGCAATAGTCAGCCCAGGGCACATGTACAACCTAAACCGGTGGGCTCAGGATTGCTTCAGGCAGCAACCCAAGCAGCAGTTAACATTGGGACTTGACTCTCAAATTTAGGCCAAAAATGTAGAAGTAACAGGATATAAAATATAGAAGTAAAAGGATATAATGCACCAGTTTAAAAGACTGATTACTCAGACACAATAACCATGCTGCTGTCCCCGGGAGGCTGGACACCAGCCTGCTACACTGACGAACCAGTCCAGGTATTTGTGTTCAACTTTAAAAAGAAGAAAAGAAGCCTTGAGTTTGCCAGTTAAAAAAGGGAAGTTGATCTGTTGAGCAAAATCTGCTGTTCAACTATCTGAACTGTCAGCTTCACCCGCGTGTGACGCATTGTGCATTCCCTGCATGAACAGGGGGAGCACTGAGAATGCAAATCTAAGGAGGTGATTGCATCCCAGGAGTAATCAAGGTATTCTGATGTGCCTTATGCCTGGCTTGTTTGGTGAGCTAATTAAAGCCATTCCGTTAAATACATTTCTATAAGCCAGTCAACTTGCTAAATAATGACAATTATTTTGACTCTTTCAAAAGTGAGCATCAGCCAGTACTGAGCTATAGTTAGGGTACATACCCGGGTTAAACTGTCTTCAGAATCTCAACCAAAACATCAGAAAAAATCACTAGAAAGTCAGGAAAAGGCTAATAATAATTTTCATTGTGAAAAGCTGAAGAAAGTTATTTTCTAATAATTGAGAAATAATAACTAATGAGGACTGGATTCAACTACCTGCTCTTCCATGCCCTGGGACACACTTGTCTCTGAGTCCAATCAGTATGAATTTCAAACAATTCCACAGGCATTTCAGCAGAATTTCTCTGAATTTAGATGAAAGCAAAAACCTCCATTCCTTTGGGAGAAAAACATTTCAATAGCACCTTGCTTTACACACACATTTCCTGCACAAATAACACCAATTATAATGCCATCATCTCAAGAGCAGTTGCTAATACACAAAAGCAGGCAAGACTTTCAAAAAAGGTGAACCATGACTTGATTATGGAGACTGCCCTGAGGTGTTCAGAAGGACCGGACTTTCTTGCCCCTGAACACTGCTGGTCCCATGAAAACTGGGCACCCAGAAATGACAGCTCACTTCTGAGCATGTTGGCTATGGCTGCTACGTTCCTTGCTATCCCATGCCATGCACTTTGCAAGTGGAAAAAATACATTTACCTCAGCAGAATTTATTGGATTTGTGTTTATACAAGGAAATAAAGAATCGTTGGTTGAAAGTGGAAATGATTTTTGAACCCACCGTAATTCCTTCAGGAACAGAAGCTTTTGCAATATCTGTGAGGTGACCCTGGGGTGCCTCGAGGCAGAGGGATGATGCTCAGGCACAGGTCACCAGTTAGTAGGGTACAAATTACAGCATCACAGTATTGAGCCCTGGGCATTTGTTAGCTGAACGAGAGCAGAGCCAGTGTAAGACTGGGCATTTGAAAAAATTACATGCTTTTGATCCAGAGAGAAAAATGTAACTAAAGATGGTGAGCAACCCCTTGGCTGAAGTTGGCCATGCAGCATACAGAGACCACAGGCAAAGCTGAGAGGTAAAAAACGCTGGGAAATGGTGTTAGGGAGGACAGAAAGAGAGAAATCAAATTGATGGTTTTCTGACTTACAGATTTTCCTTTCCGAAAAAGCAGCTGGTTGCCAGCCAGGGTGAAGTAGCGAGTTTTCCATCTTTTGATAAACTTCCACCTGACTTGCTTCTCTTTAAGCTTGCCTTCGATCAGAGGTTGGCCATCCTGATTTACAACTGGGGAGGTGAACATACAACGAGGGGGTTATTTCTGTCCGCCCTTTCCCTCAGCCAGAATCCAGGCTTTTCCTGTGATGCAGAAAAGGTTTTTTGCAGTTCTGCAGCTCCAAGATCACATTCCTCCCAACCTCAAGCATTCAGCTGTCACTTCAGAAAGACATTTCAGCCCTTAGTCATGTTTTGCTTGGGAGGCCTAGCAGATGGACCTGACAGCTCAGACTCTTCTATCCATCACTTCTTCTATTCCCTTAGCCATTGTGTACTTAACACCACCATTACACCTCCCAGTTCTTCCTCAGCCCTGCAATAATAAGTTATAATTTCATGGAATTGCCTCTGATGCTTTAATCCCCACTACAGAGCTCAGTACAATATTCCTGCAGTATTTTGGATAGGAATATTTTGAGGATATCACTCTCCATTACATGCAATAGCTTGCTTCATTACAGTAGCAAGCCTATGGAGAAGGAATTAAAAGCCAGAAGCAGGATGTCCACATGGGGCTGAGGGACTAGGCGCCATCCCACTGGAACAATTGCCAACCTCTCGTAGGTAACTCCAGCCCAGATATGTGACTTTTTGCTGAGAAAGGGGTTGGTGACTCCAAGGGCTTTGTCTCCCAGACATGATGCTTCCCATCCTTACCCTCCCAAGACAAGACTTCTTCCCTTGGGAAAGGGATGTTTGTTATCAGCTTTTCCTTATCCAGTGTTCAGGCAATAACCTAGCTCTACATTCTGTAGAGATCACTCACTGTTACATCTTCATTATTTTTTCTACTTCTCTCTTCAGGGATATTTCGAAAGTCATTTAACATTAGCGATCCATTTTGTAAAAATAATCCTTACAGCAAACACAGAGTTACTTACATCCTGTAGATCTCATAGCACCGACTGGTTGGTAATGAGACATTTTCTCTCACTTTCACATTTTTAGAATAACACAATATATTTTGACATCTGTATGGCAAAGGCCTGAGCAACTCACAGCTCAGCCCCAGGTATCCATCCTGCTCCCACAGGAGCAGTCAATATCTTTTCATCATGTTCCCCATTGAGGACATTGATGTTTTTACCATCTTGAGGCAAAATTTACTTACAAACTACTGTCGTATCATTGGCCAATAACACTGCCTGGCCTGTACCCTCGCTAGTAAGAACTAAACCAGCATTTCTGCCACACATGTCGCAGTCCTTACAGAGCCTATTTTAAATCCGGGATGGGTAACTGCCCAAGTCAAAGGGGAGGAAAGAGAAGAGGGAGAGACACAAAAGCTTCTGTCCCCCAGTGACCTGTGCTGCAGTGCATTGCCCAAGAATAATCTAAAATGCAATGAAAATTACTTAGTGTACAGTATCAGTGTTCAATACTTGCAAGTGTACAGTACAGCTCAATACTGTAATGACTGTAACTAGCATAGAAGCAGAAATACAGGCACACCCAGCTACTTTACCTTCAGCTCAGCCATTTCCCAATCCATTTATCTTCTACAGTGTTCTGAAAAGTGGCTTCAATTTCCCTTAGGAAAAAATCTTATGTTTGTCACTATAGATTTTCCTTCAACCAATTCCCTTAAAAATACAAACCAGATAAAGTCTCTAGGAAAGGGAAATAAACCCTTCTTTTTATCATATTATAAAATTATTGCTGTATTTAAAGTTACTTTCAGAATTCAAAGTACTGCATGCATATTGGGAAGCCTCGCACTTTCATTTACAGTGTATTTGTAAGGTGGTGGCCACCTCTGCCTCCAGTCCCGTGACCACAGTGCTCACCTGCCATCGGTATTCACTGGCCCTCAGCTTGAAGCATGTGAGGTTCTAGGAGCTGGAAGAGCATTCCCACATTCTGCATGCAAAAAGGAATATTGCAGCACAAGAAAAGTCCAGCAATCAAGGGGATCACCATGGGCTATAAACCACATCCATAGAGCAGCCTCAAGCCACCACCCTTCACATAAGGAGCAAACAATTTAAAAATCCTCTAATATCATGGCTGGGTTTCTTTTTTCCCTTCTATTTTTTACACTGATAGACAAGTCACATGGTCTAGTGTGAGGCATCTCTGCACATGCAGGGGGGGTTAGAACTAAACGATCTTAAGGTCCTTTCCAACCCAAACCACTCTATGATTCTATGGATGGATCAGATAAACTGAAGAGCAGTCCAAGGCATAAGCAGTCTAAGAACAGACGTTTCTTGATGTGTTGTTTGACTTGGAGCCCTTCCCAGCACCTGTCAGATGGTCAGTTATCCTATGGCTGTCAGTACCTTAGCTCAAATGCTTACTCAGTAACACAAATTCTTGAAAGTGTTCACTACTGCCTGTGCATGAGCCTTTCAGAGCCCTGAACATGGTAGGCTGGTGCCATGCTGAGGACATGCGGTGAGCAGGGTGGCCCAGCACAGCCATCAAAGGTAGCACCTGGGGTTTCAAAGGCTTTATAGCGTTTTGGGCACATACTTCTATTCACTATCTCCTGTCTGGTAGAGGAAAAACAAACAATGCAAATACAGTGCATCAGATTTAGATAAAGAATGTATTTTTCCCCAGCACTGTTTATACTGGCAGAGAGGCAGGCTTTGGGGGTCTTCAGTGTGTACTATTACAATTTCCTCATGAAAAACTATAAATATTTATGTCTCTCTAGACAGAGAGCTTTTGGAAGGAGATGGAATGAATGAAAAGGGTGGTAGCCAAGTTTCAGCTTTGAACTGCAGATGTGATTTCCCTGATAATAACCGGACACACTCTGCTCCTCGTAGCCTGCTTCAGCCCTAGCTTGATGCAGCAGCTCTTTTCTGTTCATTTTCATGCCAGTACCAGCACGATATACTGTCAGAGCTGGCACAGGACAAAGTAAACAGGCTTGCTTTCTCCCTGTGTAATTTTTGTCTCTGCAAAATGTCACAGATTTACAGGGAAGCGAGTCTGGGGCTGCACCCATTTCACAACACACTCTTTAGCAGGACGGCGCCGTGTTTTACAGTGTGCCGGAAACATGTCCTTGGAACAGAAGAGTTGGTTTTTTCTTTCTAAACAGTTCTCTAAGGCCGTATCAGAATAATACACAGAGTAACTTTCAAAGCATGATGACAACTGCATAAACATCTAGATAGAGCAAAAGGAGGGCTTGATATGAAAGGGCAATTGCTCAGTGGTTGGGTCTAGTGCATGTACCTGGCTCCCAGTCCCATGGGAATGGCTTTGATAACAATTCCAGTTCAGATGGAGTATGCTTTAGCTCAAAATAAGAAGGTGTAAAGCACAAAAAGTTCAGGGACCAAAAGGTATTGAGATGGTTGGTGGTCAAGAATACAACATGAGAAAGGAAGTGAATGTGTCACTTGGGCCTAAAGTGGGTTTTTATGGCCATCATCTTTCAAAACCAGGGTTTACCTAAAGAAATGCTGATCTCTTTTTAAACACCCGGTGGCTGGCAGCAATGCTAACAGATCACTTCTTGTGTACATCCACAAAGAAGCCTGTGGGGAATTCTGATGTCAGCTTCCAAAGTCGTCATAATGAATCTGATGCCAGTATGTCTGAGGGTCTGATTAGAAGGGAAAGATTCATGAAAGATAAGAACGAAGCTCTTTTCCAATATTTTTTTAAGTCCTTTTGCTTATTTTCATTGCAGTTGGCTTCACAGAATCATGGAATAATTCAACTAGAGGAGAGCTCAAGGGGTCTCTCATCCAACCTCCTGCTCAAAGCAAGGTCATCTATGGGGTCAGACTAGATTGCTCATGGATTTACTCATCTGGGACTTGAAAATCTCAAGAACATTTCTAGGCAAGCTGTTCCAATGCTTAATCATATTCATGGTGGGAAAGTTTTCCCTTGTAGGCAGTCTGAACCTCTCCTGTTCCAATTTATGCCTGTTGTCTCTTGTACTCCCACCAGACACCACTGAAAAGAGCCCTGCTCTGTCTTCTTATTGACCATCTTGCAGCTATGGACAGACTATCATGAAGACTCCTCCAGCTCTACTCACACCAGCCCTTGTCCCTCAGCCTCTCCCAATAGAGCAAAAGCATCAGCTCCTAAACATTTTGGTGAAGCCTGTCCCCATCCTTACTGGGGTTTTACTCAGTCATCACTGTACCCATTCAGTACTTGCTGTGTGCAGAGCAGGAGTAAGTGCATGGAGGTCTTTTAGCAAAGTACATCATGACTAAATCTGTATTGCCTCAGAAATACAGAGCTTTACTCTTCTTTCTGTACTCTTCCCAAAGCCAAATTCAGTAGCTGGTGACCCCCATTTCTTTACATGACAGAGGAGGGTTGTTTGAAAGAAGCATCTGTACTTCTAATACGGATAGAAGATTTTTTAAAAAATGCAATCAACTGCCAACTGGAGTGTGAACATTCCCTATACACATATTAATTATTGGAAAATTATGTATTGTTTTGATTTCTTCACTTTGCATAAGGAAAAATTAAAAGACTTCAGAATAATGATTCCAGAATGATTTTAAACTGATGTTTCATATGATTGTGCATATCACAGCAAACTAGTGAAGTATATTCTCCCTAATTTGCCCAAGCAAAGATCAAGATATGACATGATAAAGCCTACAAATAGAGATCTTCTGCATAGCAGGAGAGGGCATAATGTGATAGTGTTTCGAGAAAGACTAGAAATACACCCACATTTTAACAACGCTGTTAAATTGCCTGAGCAACAACTTAGGCATGTCATGGATTCTCCTTCATTTGACTTTTAAAGATCAGGTTTAGACATCTTCATAAAAATATGCAGAAGTAATATAGATCAAAGAGAAAAGATTTATTTGATATAAGCATTATTGGACTAGATTCTTTGACTGTTGTGTTATAGAAGGTCAAACTAGGTGATCACATCATCTCTGGGTTTAAAATTACTCTGTGTGGTGGTATACTGCCATGTATGATGAGATCTTTAACTTGAAAAAAGGAGTTAAAGGATTCAAAATGTTATATTTACTGTACATTTGTCTTTACTTTTTTTTTCTGCAGAACACAGAATAAAGCTAAAAATATTACCCAAACTCAAACCAAAAAATTATTTCCATTGAAATATAAATAAAAAATATTGCTTCTTACACAGTCTCAATATAGACACACTAATCCAAAATCAATTTAATGCTGGACGTGTCTTTTGGAATGATTTTCTGTTAGTTGTATCTTGCTTTCTTTGCAGAACTACAATGCATCAGACTTGAAGTAGTTTGGGTAACGAATAAAAAGTAAAAACCCCTCCAAACTATTCCAAGATGAACTCAAGACAAATAAAAACAAAGCATTAAATCTTGCATTTGATGAAACATAAAATCATCCACAAAAATTCAGTCCAATCACGAATGATCTCAATGATAATAAACTCCTGTTAACTTGGAAGATTGGAATGTGTGGGTGGCAAGCAGATAAATTCAATTAACCTAAGGGAATATGGATTCATTCTCTCATTAATCATCACATTTGGTTTTGTTGAAAACCTGAAAGAACACATTACTGAATGCCACTTTTTATAATTTTCAAACAGGCATTATAGCTGGGATATTTCAGTTCACTAGATAATCACCACTGCTAGCAAAACATAAATGTATTCAGAAGTTAATATGGTGTAGGCTATTCCGAGTGAATTGCTTTTTTAAAGAGGAATTCATAAAAACTCCTCAGTTTTATCCAAATCATTGCCCATGGGCACAATGTCTCTCCTGCAGCCCACAGGGATTACTGCAATTTCTTTGTAAGCTTCCAGAATAGGAATGTACTGCAATTCCCTCTCCAGTTATCAAGAGGTTTTACTGAATTTTTTTGTGCAAGAGCTTGTGAAGCCAACTGTCAATACAGGAGGTTATGTTGAAATGAGGTTCTTAAAGGCCAGTTTTTCCTAATAGGAGGCTCACACTGCATTTACCAAAATTTCAAATGTCTTTAATGGTTGTCATTAAAAAAAAAAAAAATAAATTAAAATAGCGTAACCCGGTTTTCCTAGCTCTGAGAACAGCTGCACAGTCAGGGCAGATACATGTATTTGAGCACGAGTAGCATTTGTGGGAATGCTCTTCCTGCATGGCAGGAAAAAACAATTTGGGATGACTTAATAGCACTTCTGGAAAACTGTGGTTGTATAAGAAGTACTTTGCAATCAGAAGAATGCATGAGAAATGTTCAAACTTTCTCTCTGTTAATTGCTACTTCGGGTACGTCCATCACATTGCTTAAGCATAACTGCCTCTTTCCTCACAAACTCAGCCTCCAAGCGTAGCTTAGCTCCAAAAATCCTCCCAGCTACATTCAAAAAAACCCCCCATCATTGATCTGGCATCCTAAGGCAAGATTGAGGCTTTAAGGCATAATGCTTTCCTAAGTCTGGAGGATAAATGGCATCTTGCAACACGGCATCCAAAAAATGCCACAAACCCCAACATTAACAAAAACCGAAAGACAATAACAGAAAAAGAATTTGCCTCTGAATTCCTTCTTAAAGAAGAATTTGGTTGTTAAACAGATTGTTGAGAAGAAGAAATTGCTTTCTTGTCTTTCAAAAGTACTTGAGATTTCAAAGGGTCTGTCCCACTGTGGAATGAAAATAAAATATATTTTACAGCCTTTGTTTCTTATCAATTCAAGGAGCCCTCGGAATCCTCCTTCTTGTGTCAGACCTTATAAACTCAAAAAGACTGTGGAGTGTCTCCTGCTCTTGTACAGCTTTTCCCAGTCATAGCAGCTCTACATCACCAATGCTAAGGCAAATTTGTCATTCACCTGCAGATTTTTATTCCATTAAGCACAATCTTCCACTTTCCCTTCCTGCACCTGAGCTTTCATTTGACCCATTCAATACTCTATTTTCTTGGTCTTCTAAAGGCTTTTAGGGTTGAGAAGCAAATCAAGGTATTCACAATGTACCTTTCTTAAAAATTTTCTTTAAACTGAGAGAAAGAAAGTAATTGCTCATAAAAAGGACAGTTACAGTCCAAGAATATTCTGTGCTTAGTTCCTCCTGTTCCTGACCATCCTCAGAGTCATGCTTGAACTCTCAGCCCTGGCTCTAAAACAAAGGGTAAATGATGATTTTGAGATGTTGATAGCTATTAACATCTTCTCCTGCCTCTCGTGGGCTATTGTAGCAGAGACAGCTGGAAGCTGGGCAGGGAGGACAGGTTGTGCACCCTTCCAAATGGGGACAGGCAGGCAGACCTGTGGGCAGTGACAGGCCTGCAAACTCCAGGCACCACCCTCTGTGCTTTCAGTGCTTGAGGAGGAAAAACCCCCTCCCAAATATCCAGGCATCCTCCATGCTCTTGAGTACTTGTGGTACTTGAGAAAAAGAAAGCAAAGTCTCAAGTTATTGTACCTGCTGAGAATTCATCATTTTGCTTACAACCTTAGTGGTGTATTTGCATTTTTTTCCATTGGGCTTTAGTTGATATCATACAGATACAAGGTAGAAAAAAGGTAAACCTAAAGAAAATTATTTGTTTTCTCACTTCTAGAAGAGGTACTATAATTTACAAGGGCTTATATAAGTACCAGTTTATAGGAATGAAAGTCTAATTTGTACCTTGACCTGCTGTCAAGCTTGATGAGGTCAGCACCCCCTTGCCCAGCTGGCCAAGTGCTCCCACATTCCTACATCTCCATGCAGAGTGGGTTTTTGCACTTCTTGTGAAAGACAGCACTGCTGCACTGCCATTTGACAACTTATCAGATTAGAGAATAAAACTTTGAATATATTAATCTCTTCTGTTCACATCAGTGTGTAAATGGAGAACTGTATTTACACACCCAAGGAAGATGGAACAGCACATGCACTTCATTGCAGCTTTTTCACAGCAGCTAAGGGAAAAGGTGAACCCCTAGAAGAGATGTGACCTTCTCCCGTATCTCTGTGGAATACTGTGGTATCAAATCTACAACCTACAACAGTGCAAAGTGATTTTTCACCAGCCTGAAACAACGAATAGGTAAGAGATGTGGCATGCCAAACCCCTGCTGAAGGCTTTTCCACAGCAGGCGTTATGCTCCCACTTCCTGAGGACCACTGGCATCAGGCAGAATATACAGTTTACCCTACTCAAGACATCGGCTCAAGTGCTCTGCAAACAGACTCAAGAGCCCCTTGTCAGTGGGACAGACACAGTCATGCTTTCGTAAGCTCTTCTTGTACTTACCAAAGAGTACTGAAGAACTCAGCGGGAATTGCTGCCGGCTGTCGCAGTATTTTATGGCTGTTTGCCTTGAGTTCAGACCTATTTTTTGAAGGTACCATTTGTATACTGGTAGTACTGATGAGGTCTGGATCCCAGACCCAACTTTGTGCTCCCGGCAGCAAAGCCACAGTGCTGTGTCACACAGACCTCCCTGCACCGTGTTCTGCTTCCAGCCCTTCTTAGACCTCTCCTTGGAGGACACGGTACTTTGGCATGAGAGCAGCAGGGAAGCAAGGTGTCAGCTGTCCTTTGATGTCTGCAGACTAGTGTCATTAGCAAAACCCATGGCATCAACAAGGAATGGTGCCACATGTCACCCCAAGGATTGCCTTTTCCGCCTTCCTCTGGTGTTGTCTCTACTACAGCTGCTCTATCAGCATAATCAATAGCATGCTACAAACATTCCCCTTTTTGGACTAGTTAAATATCTTTGAAAACTCAGGACAAAGCTATTTTATCAAGCTTTGAAATTTTAAGCAAGGTACTCATTATTCATGTAGCTTGACATATGTCTGTCACTGATGTGATGGACAAACCACAGTAAAAGCATGGTACTGAGATGAAATTTCAGCTCAAAGCATGATTTCTTTTATGGTCATTGAGTCCTGTGAGAGTTGTGGAAAAAGGAAGATGGTCCCATGAAACAAGCACAGGCAGCCTGTGCCTGCAGGCCTATGGCAGAGGCTGTGCCGCTCTTGAAAGACTTACTAAATTCAGGGTTGATGAAATATAAAAAGATGCTAGCTGTTAAAATAAATAGCTGAAACAGCCAATTATCCAAAGGCTTGGCCAAAATATTCAAAATTCTTGGCCAGAATTGTGCAGACTTTTACAGAGTGGCAAAAAACATCTAAGAAAAAAGCCTCTGAATTTCAGTGCACTGATAGAAAACATATGGGTATCAAAAAAAAAATGTCACCAGGATCTTTTACCTGGGAAAAAGTGTGTTTTCCACTCAGCCTGTTTTTTCATGTAGCTGAAGTAATATGGCTGTTGTAATATGGCAAACATTGCCTTGTTCCTAAGAGGATGTGTACTATGGATTCAATGATATTGAAGCAAATAATTCTGAGAACAAAGATGGCATGAATCAGGTGTCGTATCTATGCCAGTGTCCTCTGACATGTGGCACCTGTGCAATCTGCAGAGGGCCTGGTACAGCAGATGCAGCTCCCTTACCTGGACACTGCAAGATGGGTGCAGGTCCCTCACATGCCCCACAAATTAGTTGTTACACAGATTTATGAGTCTACATTAATTGTGGATTTTATCCCTGTAAGCACACACCAAATGAAGTTTGTGCTTGACTTGCTCATCAGTAAAGCTGAGACCAGAGTTTAATGGAGAATTCCAGTTAAAACAGACACTGCCTGTGCTACGCTCACAGTTTGATTTCCCTTTTCCCCAGTCTTCGCCACCATCATCAGAGACACAGCATTAACTGAGTTGCACTCCATCCTCCACCCACCACAACTCCCCCACCACGCACAGCCCACCAGGGATGAAGGCAGATGACTTACCTGTTGCCTTTTCAGGGTTATTGCACATGAAACACTGCCAAGTTCCTGCTTCCTCGCTGTAGCCGAACAAATCAAAGAACCTCACTTCTGCCAGGTGCATCTGCACATGGTCCAGGTCCTAAGCCCGTAATGAGAAAAACCAAACTTACTCATGAGGTGAAGCAGTGCATAGTTGACAGCTTGTAACCCAAATCACAGAGGGATGCATAGCTGATGCCAGCTAGTGTCCTTTCCCGTATGTCTCTTGCAGACAAACAACCTGCTGGGGCAAATGTGCTCAGCAGGACGTATCTCTATCATCAGTAGTAGCTAATATATAAATCACATATTAGTCTGCAGGAGGCAGAGGGCTGGTCTGGGACTTGTTGTGTTACTTTAACAGTGCTGTGATCAGTTTTCTCAGCAGTCCTGCCCAGCGCATTTGCCAACAGCTGAACCACCTTTATTACCTCCATCCCTCTCAGGATTTTTTCAATGATCCAGAAATCTAGCATGGTCTCTGCTAACACGCTGCAGTGCTGGGGTCTTCCTCCTGTCCAGCTGGACCCCGCATCAGAGCAGGAGTTAGTGGCTGGGGACCACTTTTTTTTTTTTTAAGAAAAGTAGGGGCTCTAGACACAGCCCCCTGTGAGAAGCACTAGTACAAATGTTTAATATAAATGTTAATATGAACATTTCCAAAAACACAGCAACAACAGGACTGATTTAACTCACAAAAAACACACCTAGGAAAATGTGACATTATTCTGCCAGTGACAAGCCAGGAAAAGATTATGCATCTGCCAAGTAAACCAAATGTCTGATAAAAGAATCCTACAGAAAGTATACTTGCAGCTTCAAGTATGGGAAAAGCTGGAGGATACTCCTTTTGAGGCAATTAATAACCCTCTATAATTCAGTGTATTCCAAATCCCATTATTTAATTTCAAAACAGATTATGATCTCACACTTAAACAAATGTTTGTGTAAAATAACAGCAACCAAGTTATTTCAAACATGAAGGGAATGGCCAGAACCACTCAGAAAACACATGAATTCATTTGCATGGGGTCTTCACAGGTCTGCAACACTGCATGCTGCAGCCCAAAGAAAACACAGATTTACACAGTCAGTGGGGAAAATATCATCGCTTGACAGGGCCATTAGTTCATAGCACTGAACAAGGCTGTGCAAAGGATGCAGTTGTCTGATTTGGGTCTTTTCAGACAAGCTGTAGTGAAGGAGAGAGAGCGGGAGGCCGACTGGCTCAGGGAGCCCCAGCAGCATGACATCGCTCCTTCCCAGCCCCTTTCAGGATGGGGAACAGCCAGGCAACAGCTGTTTTCACAAGAACTGAAACACCCAAGACCACTTCAGACCTCTGGACATTGACCCAGATAACAAGCTCAGGTGAGCCAAATGTTGAGTTGTAGCTTAATGGGAGCTCTCAGATGCCCCCACCATGCCAGAAGCCATCTCCCAGTGGGTTTTAGTCTGTCTGAAGGAAGGATGCTAAGGCAGAATGGGAAGCATGGCTCACATCATTGGAGAAGCTCCAAACAACAAAGGTTTTCTTCACTTCCCACAAGCAACATGCAGAGAAATGGGCTTCATAACACATGGGAAGATGGTGACCACACAATGAAGGTCTTGGACACGCTGGCTTTGTTTGCAAGAAGGTGCCACAGGGCAGCAGCCTCACAGCCCAGCTCTTCAGTCTGTGGCCATGTGGGAGATGAGTGGTCAGGCTGAAGCAGAGATGTCCCCTGCTCTCCGTGGCTGCCTTGGTGGGCTCCCTTGTAACACTCAACTGTGCAATTCCTTATGCCTCCTGCGCATGTTCACCAGAGTCAGTGCTGCACCCATACCTCCATGCAGTCAGCTGCTAGGCTGCCCCAACCCAGCACACTCACACTGGCTTGTACCAGCAATCACAGATAAAACTTGGTTATTTTGCTCTGTAACTGCTCTTTATACATTGCTGGGTGTTCTTATTGCTGAAGTTCCTGTTTTCCTCCAAAGAGGAATTCTATACATTCAAGAAATTTAGCTGGCTGCTGTGCACAAGCACTGTGCAGCTTCTCTCTGTATTTCTCCAGCTGCTCTGTCTGCAGTGGCTCTGACAGTCCAAGTCCCTGCCTCCCTTCAGATACTTTGTGCATGGTGTGGGATCCCCAGTAGATCCTCCCTGGCCTGGAGGGACAGACCACACCAGCCCACCACAGTCTCCTCCCTACTTCAGGCTCCCAGTGGAGGGGCAGATTTCCCTTCAAGAAGGGGATGGCAGAGCGGAACACAGCCAGCAGTGCACCCTGCCCCAGCGTGCTCTAGTCTTCCTCCTGTATCTGGGAGGATTCAAGATGGGCAAAATAATGGTACCCCTCTCAGTGGGCCAGCACAGGACATTATAAGGACACATGGATGACTTTCAGTTTGGTGGACTGTTGAAGTGGAGACTGTTGAAGCTGAAGATGGAGCTTCTCCATCCTGTGAAGAAAACTTTTAGCAGCTGCAATGAGTCAACTCTAGACTGAAAGCAAAATAGCACTGAAATATCAGTGCAACAATCTTTCTTTTCCACTGTGTACTCAAGTACACTTGAAAATATCTTCAACAAGCCACTTATTTCAAGAAGGGGAAGCACAGGGGACAAAAGCCTAATTGGAGAGAAAAGATTTATCTCATCACCATGCTTCATCATCTTGAAAACTTCAGTGACTCCACTGTGAAAATATGCCACTCCTTTGTGCTGCATAAGCCAAGATAGCAAACGAAGGAAAGGAAAGAACAGGACTAACAATGGCTTGAAAATGTTAATTATTCTCTTGCAAGGCTGCTCAACAAAAGACTCTCTTAGAGGCATCGCATGGGGCTCATAAAGTAGCCAGCATTTCACTCTTCTGACACAGCATGAGTCAACACAAAGAATTCAGAAACAAGCTCAAAAATGGCTTAGTTTTTGTAACGTGGCCTGCGTATACTTTGATAAAGAACTATGAAGCAACTAAACGGAAATCTGTAAGGATGTACATCTGGAAATGCTTTACTTCTGGCACATCTTAAGCCACGTTGTATAAATATTTTTTGTGGCATGAATAGGCTGCCTGGTGAAACACAACATGCTTTCTGTGAGCCAGGTATTTGCTGCAATTCCTTGCACACCCGTCCTGGGCTGAAATAGAAAAGTGCTTACAGTGATGTAAATATGAAAATATTTATCCAAATTTACTCTGGAATAAACCATTGGTGTTTGGTTTGTTTTTTTCTCTTTCCAGGTTTGCAAAATGCTTTAGAATCCATATTGGAGTTAAAAAAAAACCAAAACCAAAACCCACATTAATTTATTCCGGATTGGCCACAGGGCAAACAGGGATTGCAGAGCAGTATTGCAGCACTGGTTTTGCTGTGGTTCCTGCTGGCTGCTGAGGGTTGGACCTTCCCTGCATGCTCACAGCACAGAAATTCCTCAATTCTGATAAAGCATTCTGACATTGCTATAACACAACACATGAAACTTCATATAAAATGTAATAGATGACGTTGATGCTGTATTCACATCAACAGATTTCGAAACATTTCAGATTAAAAGTGTTATGCTTATTGAAACAACCACAGCCCCATAATTTTGCTTCTTGCTCTACTGTCAGAGGAATAACATTAACAACAGTCATGATTTTGTCAAATAATTTCACAACATTAGAAGTTCTATTAGCAATAGGAACAAATAATGAAATGAAAAAAAATCACATTATAACAGAAGCTTAGTCTGTCAAGCAAAGTAAGGACTAGGTCATGGAAGAAATATTCCCACTAGATTTTTTGGGAAATGTAAAAGCCAAAGGAAACAGCAGACCTAGGTCGCATTCCCGGAAAACTCAATGGCACTTTTCTCAGTAAACTGAATGGAAACTGCACTAGAAACAAACCCAGGTTCTGTATTAATAAGCGAAACCAAAACTGAGAAAGTAAATCCAGCAGCATACTGTGGAGGCCAAGACTGAATGTTAAAGTCTTTTAAAGTGTTTTACATCTGCCTGATCCTCTTCAGCCTTCAAAGGCTCTTAGACAATCTGCAGCTCCCGGAGTTTCCAAAATTCAATTCACTGCTTGATTCACTATGTCAGTGAAGATCAGTACCTCATTTTCCAGCTCCAATATTTTGGGAACTCAGAGATACTGTTACTGTCATGGAGTGATGAAAGTTCCCAAAATAGGCCAAATGCTGGTATCAGAGCAGTAGTAGGATTATGCAACCAATGCTCTGGAGACTAATCCCATTTCTAGGGTGTTTGACATGTCTTGTAGACTTTTGTGTGTAGTGCACTACATCTAATCCTACCCATGAAAGCATGTTCTTTCATAAGCTTTTTATTCACCCCAAACTCCTTTACACTCCACCAGCTCTGACTTTTGCCTAGTAGATCTTGGCACAGACTCAAGTTAAACCAGTATTGAATAGAAAATGCCTTTGGATGAGCCATCTAGGATTTCAACAGCAGCTAAAATACTTAGTGCGAGCTACACTGTGTCTAAGTAAAATTGGCCCATAAGGTGGGTCTCAGATGTGGGGGTGCCCTACTCCTTGTACAAGCCACAGCACAGGAGTTCCCACTTCAATGCAACATTATCTTGGCGATTCAGAAGGTGTTCCTAACAAAACTCCTTTTTTTAAATCAGCCATAGCCTTGGTAAATTAATCTTATTCAGTCAGATATCTTCATGTGTACACTATTCTGTGAGAGAGTGTTTAAAAATCATGTTTGACAATTCATTTCATCCAGTTAGGCTGGATGGAGATGTTCAGAAATAAATAGATATTTGTTCTACAATCCTACAGTGTCGTTTTCCAAGAAGCCTGATTAATAACTTTGAAATAGCATACGCTGAAATCCCAGAGACAGTAAGCAGCTTTGAAAGATTAATCTTTTAAACTGATGGGGATAACTAAAGATGCATGTGCAAATGATCATTTCCATAAAATCCAAGTCAGTGTTTAACTAGGTGAATTTCCAAGTGGCTGCCAAACAGTCCATAGTGGCAGCTAATCTGAATCTAGAGTTTGAAACTGCGACCAGGAAAAAATCCAAATGTAGCATCACCATTATTCATCATGTTGGGAACAATCCACAGGAAGCAAGGAGGAGAGAGTGGAGGACTAGCCCGAAGACCTTTCAAAGCATGGTACAAAGGAACACCATAGACCCTCTGCAGAGGCTGTAAATATAATGGCTGGTGAACATTTTTCAACCTCCCCACAAACGAGTGCTTCTTATAAAAGGGACGTCAGAGGCACGCACCATACGGCCATCCAGGAGAAGAAGACTTGGCATGTCAGCAAGTGCAAATGCTCAGGAGATGCCGGAACTGAGGCAAAGAAAGGAAAGGGGCAGGGAAAGGAGTTTTGTTTTTCACAATTTGAGCACAACAAGAGCTCACTGTAGCTGTTGTAAGGGTCTTTGTTCAGCTGTTCTAAAAGTCAGGGCAAAGTTCTATTTTATTTTTTTTTTGTCCTGAGGAAAAAAGAGCCAAGACCACTTACCTTTTGGTGTGGAAATGTAGACTGAATCATGGCAGTTTCAAAACTATGCATCCCCTTAAGCTGTGTCTTCTCCCACAGGGCTTTAAGGACTTGCACACAATTACTCTGTACAGACAAAGGTTCTGCAAACAAGCTCTAAAGTAAATGTCAAAAACAGGATTTCAGGCATTTTTCACTTTGTTGTTAACAAAGAGTGTCTCATTCCTACAGGGGGGCAGGCATGTGGATAACTGGGGGTTAGTTCATTTCTCTGTAGGAGTTATGATGGATCAATATGCACACAATTAGATATATCCTCCAATATTTCATTTCCTCTGGGGCTTTTCTCGTTTATTGTACATTACATGTCTTTACAGTCTGTGGCTCACCAAAGATGATCTATTAAATACTACTACTCACAGCCACTTGCATGTCATTTTTGTATTGAAATGCTATCAAAACACTAGCAGCAGTGGCCTCTACGAACCAGGTGCAGATCTCAGTGACATGCAACTTTCTGGAAAAGGCACATCATTTATCAGTTAATGCAAAGAGATGCTTAGGGCTGCTGCAGGGTTGTGTATGTTTATTTGGACCTGACTGTAGCTCTTGGTCCTTGGGTGGGAGAGAGTAACAGTGCAACAATTGTGACTGAACTGAACAGACAGCTGGATGAAATGCAAAAGAAAACAACTCCACTGAACACATTCAACGCTGATTTTGCTGGCAAAGTACAGAAATTTTCAGCCTGTGAACATTCACAAAACAAGATGAAACCTGTGTTGGGTTGAGTGCTTTCACTGCCAAAGCTCGCTGTCAAAAGACAGCAAGGATACAACCTTATACTGCCTTGAATTATTCTACACAAAGTCAATGTTGCAACACCGCTACTGTGGCTGAGAGAGCTTAGCATTTTTACCTCTACTACATCTATTTGCATGCAGGAGCCAAATTAAGAGTGCACAAGCAAATCTGATTTTCCTATTTCCAATATTTGATTGTGCGATATGAACCATGAACCTACTTTTAATGTAGGTTTCCTGGATGGACATTCCTCCTTCTCTTTCTAAACAGAAACCAAGCAATCCTAATCCCACTGTTTGGCATCCAACTGACACAGACGCGCTTCAGTAAGACTCAACTGGGAATTTTACTGTGGCTGAGGCAATGCATTTTTTCCAGCTAAACTGTCAGAAACAGCCAGATCATTTTGTTCAAATTAAAAGGGAGAAGCAGTCAGCTTCAGGCAGCCACTTGGCACAAGAAAATGGCAGCCCAATTAGTTTGTGTTTGGCAAATTTAAGAGTGACTCTAGGTAAGGTGTTAGAAAGGGACAGGTCAGGCAGCCCCTTGCTTGCTGGTGCTACCATAGCAATGTGACCCTGCCCCGCTTGAGGAGGGAAATTAAACCATTAATCATACAGCATTAGAGGATTATTTTAATGAATGAATCTGTGAAACAAAGAATGCTACTGAATAACCTCTCTAATATCAACACTTATTCCATTTTTATTCCATTTTTTAATCATCACTTAACTGTATCTCAGATCTTCATTGACATATACTTCTCTTCCTATTGCCCTGCAGTAATAATTTGCCATTTCACAACTTCCATCCAAGGGGTTTGAAGCATGATAGAACTACTCTGCAATATTTTAGAAATTAAATAGAAAGCAAGGTCATGAAGTTAAGAGTCTGTTCTGGAGACCTGAGAGAAAAAGTCTCTCTTGCTTTTGCAGAACGCAGTGATAAAAAGAATATGGAGCGACTGGCAAAAAAGAAAAAAAAAATATAGTAACTGGCATTGAAATAATCAGAAACTGTGTATTAGTCATCCGTCTGTAAATCTATGACAGATCTGTGGAATACTATATTTTTATCACCAGCCTTTCATTTAACTTATTAATAACACACTATAAATACATTTAATGTCAAATTTATCTCTTGTACAATTTCACAGGCTTAAATAACATCATCCCAGGGCTGAATTTAGGGCCCTGTATTTAATTTAATAATAGTTATATATCCAGTACTTAAAAGCTTTAGGATTTCAAACAAAAGAAAATCATAAATTATCTGACATCTAACACCATCCTGATGCACAGCAGGCTCAAACACTCAAGTGCAACACAAGAGGAACCTTTTGCTTAGTTCTCTTCCCCCTTCTCTCCCCCCTGTCCCCACCCCCATTGAAAAAGGGTATTAAGTTCTGTGTTTACAGCATGCTTGCAAAGATAAACTAAACTGTGACGCATTGAGCCTGGCCCTGGCAGCGTGGGGGAATTCTGCTGGGGGCTCCTTGGCATGGGAGCCCAGGGCCAGGGGTAGCACTGGCAGAGCTGGAGCAAGCTAACAAGACCGTAGGGAACGAGGAGCTGCAGTGGGACAAATGCAATTACTCAGCCCAGAAGCAGGGAAAGCAGTGGACAATGGAGGGACCAGTGTCTGGGGACAGCATCTGAAGGAAGCAAGACCCAACAGAGGCACGTGGGGACAGGGAAGGAGGGCAATGGGCACCCCAGTGCAGAGGAATGGGGAAAGAAAGTAATATATCCCCTGTGAGCTAGGAACTATGTGAAGCAAAATAGTCCTGATAAAAGATGGAACTGGAAGGGCCAAATTCAGAGTTATCTGGGAAGGGGTTAAAGGGAGAAGTTTTTCAGTGAAAAAAATGATCAGGAAAAGGCAAGACATGAGGGATTAAAGATGGAATCAGTGCTTATGTTGTCAGTGCAACTGATACAAACCATGAACCACAGACAGAGCAGAGGTCATTGTGTTAAAATGCAGTGTCAGGGGCGGCGGAGTCTGCACAGTGGCAACTGAGGAACACCAACCCTGCTGCCCCTTTCCTGTGCCTGCTCTTCCTGACACATTTTTGTGTGGTTTTGTTCTTTTGTCCATATTTTACAATACCTGTTTTTCTCTCAACAGGAATAAAAGGATATACTTGCAACATAATTAATTTATTCTCTCTACGTCCTGTTAAAATTCAACCTCTTTCTTCAGGTTTTCATTTACAGCGTAATTCACCTCCTTTATTTTCTTTGCTTCCTTTGCTCTGCTCTGTCACTGTCCTCTCCTTCCCCATCCATTTGGAAAGGTTGGGGAAGGAGCCCACTTCTCAGCTTGGCTCCTGACCATCCGCGTTCCTCATCTACAGCAAAGGCCCTATCCTCACAAACAGCTTACACAGGCACCTGCGGATCCAGAGAAACCACTTCTTGTACTGAAACACCCAAATATTCCTACTCACCTGCATTTTTTTGAAAACCTTTTTTTCGTATGTATTGCATATAGGAACTAACACAGGGAAGAGTGATTTGAGCAATTAAATTAACAGTATAACTTGCTGTGCATGTTTTAAATTTCAGATAAATCCTTTGTATTTCTAAGGTTGCTTTAGGGTTGGTTGAACTGCGGTAAAGAACTCTACATAGGTTGAGAAACTGAACCTTAGTAGTTTAACACAAACCCCATCTGTTTAATCTTGAAGTATGAATGCAGTGATTTCTCTTACAATTTCATACTATTTGTAACCTATTAGGAAAGTCCACATAGGTCCAAATACTGGGCTGGATTTGGAAATAGTGTTAAAATGGGAAAGTAGCTGTAGGGTTGGTAGGGCAATAGCAATGATCAGATTTGCAAATCCTGCTCAGTCAAAATATCTGCAGTAAAAAATCCCAGTGGGTGCTGCACCTCAAACTTCCACCTGCAGCACTGGGGTTCATTCTGTTCCCTTGCAAATCCACTGCAATGCTCCTGCTCATTTGCAAGGCACCTGGGACTAACTGGAAGTTTTGCCTGAATGAGGACAATAAGGTTTAGTCCCATTTTTTAATCCCCAGACTTTGTAATCTCACCAGACAGTTTGACTTTGTTGCGTTTAATAAAAATATAAAAACTCATAAAATGCAAAATCATTTCAACCCACTATAATGACTTTCTGAGAAATCACAGGAGTCACAAAGCACAGTGGGTTAGAAGTGTACTTAAAGAGATTAAGCATTAAAACATTCTTTCCAAGTGCAACGTGAGCAATATAGAGGTGCCATGAATTCGTATTGCACACACCTGCTGGAAGAGGAACATGATATGGATCCACAGTGAAGGCTGCTGGCTGATGAGGGTAAAACTGGATTTACTGTACAGGCAGTAATGGTCCTTCAGGGAACAGCTGAAGAACAGCTTTGCTACACAGCTTCTAACAGTATCTAGAAATAAATATACAGAATATTAAAATTAACTACATAAAAGACAAAAAGTTAACTGTCCATTACCAGTGTGAGGGCATGCGTATCTCAGTCTGGGTCAACTCCTGCAGCTTTCAGAAGGGCGCTGTGGTATTTGCACCCTTAAATTAAACACGAGCCATCTAACAGTACTAGAGAAATTTAGTCTCCCGTGCTCTAAATCTTATATAGTGATCATTCACCTCCAAAAGCAAAAGGTGCACAAGACAGTGCATAGTCATGCTGTTTATCTTCTCTGTGCTTTCTCATGCATTTGGTACCAACATTTATCTTACCGAACCAGACAGATCTGCCAGAACTGTGCATCACTTATTCTTATTTAAAGAGTTTTTTGGATAAATCATCCCTTATTATCAAACAGCCTTATGGGAGCCTGGTATCTGTGGGATCCTTGCTGAGACTTCATGCAGCTAAAAGCTGGTGTCTGTAGGGGTGGAGAAGGGCATCTCCTAGGTAGGAATGGGCTCATTCACCTTCTGGTAAAAGCTGCAATACTTCCCATTTGCAATGGATTCCCCAGGGGCCAAAAGGTGCATAAATTGATTTACAACACTATTGTGCATGTAGCATGTTTTCTGTACAGGCCATGTTATAAATTTATCACGCAAAATACCACCATTTCAAAGAGAATCAGTGAGTATTTTCCAAGCTGTGGGTCACCGCAGGGAGCCAATTTGCACAGCCCTGCAAGAGCTCCCAGCTGCAGGCCATCCCCCCGTCCACCCAGGAGCTGCAGCTCCAGAGCTCAGCTCCACCTGAATGTGCCCATGCAGAGATGCACTGCCTACAGCCTGGTTTCTAAGGGGTCCAGGTCCTACAACTCCCACTTCTTATCAAGCATTGTGCTACAAGTCTGCTGGTCATACCCGATTTTTACATGCTAAGACAGGGAACTGCAGCTTTTGCAGCCATTCTCTGAGAGGCAAAACCCACAAGGCACAGGAATCATTGCTGCTGCCACACTGCAAGGCACAACATGACACACTCCAATCAGCAAACCAGTGCAAGAGCAGCCACCGCCAGAGCCCGCTGGCCACAATGCCAACACAGCCACAGACTTTGCAGCAAAAAAGAAGGAGAAGAGAAGGCATGGAGCTCCAGGTCCAAATGGACAGGAGACTGCAGATGCATTCACAGTTACACACCAGGAAAGGTGGGTAATCACCTTTGAATGTCCATTCACAGCTGTGATTCAGTGTCACCCACTCAACACAGAGGTTTTTCTCAAAAGTGCAGTTTGGTTTGCAGTCCCAGCTCTGGGCACTACAGACAGACAGAGCATCTCCAATTCTCACCATCTGTCGAATACTGACCATTTATGCCATCTGTGACCATGTCACATGTTGATAAAAATCCCCCAGTGGTTACATGCAATCTGAAGATGCCATTTGGGATCAGCTGCTCAGTACAGAACTATATGCTACATAACGTTACCTGGCTCTGAAGTTCCCATGCTGGTTTTAACTGGAAATGAAGCCCTTAAGATGCACAATTCTGCTTTTGCAGAATATTGACCCTGAACCCTCATTTTCTGTGTTTGGATGACTACTTATAACAGCATTTTAGGTATAACCTATTCAGATTCTTTTACTAACTTAAAATACTGGTGGTATTTTATAGACCCTTTGCACAGGAACAAGCAGCTATCTGAGGTAAAAAGGCATGGAAAACAAGAGACAGAGATCCTTAGATCATGACCTTGATGCAAACACAGGAGAGAACTGCACCCTCTTCACCTAGCTGTAGAGTTGAACTTGGAAGGGGAGAAGAACAACAGTCCCACCAGCTGTTTCCTAGCTAAAGGCAGAAGTGACAGACAGACTGACAAGCTGCCATGCAGTGGCTGATGAGCCCACTAGATCTATGCAGCAAGCCACTGTTGCTCACCTCTCCTAGGGTCCTGGCCTGCCAGCACCTACAGGGCCAGAGCTGAAGTGTTTTCAAAGAGAAGAGAGCACAGTGGTGGCTCCTGCAGCATCCACAGAATGAATCACCAGTTGAGAAGGCTGACTCGGTCCAGTTGTGCAGGCAGCATTACTCAGAGTCTCGTGCTATCTGGTGAGTCACTGTGAGGTGAAGGTGTAGTAATAAAATGCTGTAAGAAAATATCCTAACTGGAAAAACGAGTTGCAACTTTTTAGAGGACATGGCTAGCAGCAGACAGTTTAAATAGCACAGCCTTCTGGATCTACTGACAATGAAAGCCAGGAACAAGGAAGACAGATATCAGAAGGCCTTTCGGTCCAGCAACAGACCATTTTGAAATACTTGTTGGTTTTAACATTTTTCATCTAATCAGGACTTGAAAGCATAAGAGAGAAATGTAATAAATTCAGTATTTCACATAAACCACAATGTATGAGGAATGAGTTTACCAGAGGCACAAAAGGCTGGGTCCCTATAGTGGAAGTATCAATGGACCAGATTGTCTCTGAAAATGCAGAAAATTCAAAACTGGGATGTTGGAAGCTGTCAAAGATGCTACAGAGAAGCCAGATGGTTGTTAGGGTGGGAGAAAAAACTTCAGAAGCTGGCAAGTGGAAACCACTCTGACATCCTTTGACAAAGCTGTTTAAATTGCTGAGTAAAGAAGAGCACCAGTGTCAGGACGGGGCTGCAGAGCTCATTGAGACTCCACTGAGGCACAGAAGGGATCTGAGATGTAAAGGCATAGCAAGATTAAAGTTAGAGTTCACAAAAAATAGTAGAGTCACTACACATGCTGTGAGGAAACACACAAGCCAAAGCAATTCATAATATTTGGAAATGAGCACAAGAACTAAACCAGATTGTAGCAACCATAAAGCAAGGGATGACAACAGCACTCCTTCCTCAAAGGAACTCAAGCAACATTACAGCAGATGAAACTTGGATTACCTGGAAACCGCTGTGTTCATTAATCTTTAATCACAGGCAGGTGCAAAAGCCAAACTGGGGGCAGAGGGAGCAATAGTAAAAGCAGAAGAAAAGCCACAGGCACAAGGAGGTCAGAGGGTCAGACCAGGTGGTAAGCTCTCCTCCCAGAGAGGGAGTTCATGAACTAAGTCAAAATGATGAGCTGAACAGGGCTGCAAGCATCACCTGAATCACTCCCCACCAAAGAGACAGGAGGAAGGACCTAGACCAGCCCTGGCTCCCCTAGCCCACGGGTGAGCCAAAAAGAAACCCCATCCATATGCGTCTCTAGAGAGTGCATTTTAGCAGAAGACCACTTAGAAGATGTTTCTTTTCCTGTGAGACAGTAATGGAAAGAAGACCTGAAGTGGGGCCACTACTTTTGGCTTCAAATACACCAAAAAGATAGGCACCCTCAGTGGTGTTAGGAAATATAACACTCTTTTCTCTTGTGAAAGCCTGAGAAAATGAATATATTACAGGAGAATGTTGCCTTGAAGGAGGAAAGAATCCGCACAAAGTGGTGGCTTGTTGCCAAGCATTGGGCATTTGTAGACTGCTCTTTGAAGAAAACGACATCAATTGTGCACATTGACTAAATCCTGTGGAATGTAGAAGTGTTGTTTGGATCGCGTCAATTGCCTAAATGCAAACATATTTTAAGATCTACAGTGGGACCATATTGGAAGGGTGTGTATGACCGTAAGCTTTCAGCAGTAGAAAGCCAGGGCTTAGTTAAACCAACAAAGATAAAAATACTGCTAAACTGAGATAACTGTTCTGAAAAGAAAACTGACTTAGCTGCAGATCACAGACACATCATGCCCATAAGCAGTGCACTCACCTTAGCCGGAAAAAGATGGGACGTAAAATCCAGTACTCTTGAAGCAGTAGCTATGGGGAAAATCTGAATTTTACCTATTTCCCAAACCTGTCAGTGTTCATGTTCAAATAAAGGAGGAGTTTGAGAAACCAAAAGGGTAAATTAGAGCAACCATGTGTCCTGGGACATGTTAAAGCAGAAAACTAAATTATGTCCATGGAGAGAAGGGACTTTTTACAAGGGCACATAGTAATAGGACAAGGGGCAATGGCTCTAAATTGAAAGAGGGAAGATTTAGATTAGATATTAGGAAGAAGTTCCTTACTGTGAGGGTGATGAGGCACAAGAACAGGTTGCCCAGAGAAGTTGTGGCTGCCCTGTCCCTGGAAGTGTTTAAGGCCAGATTGGACAGGGATTTGAGCAACCTAGTCTAGTGGAAAGCATTCATGTTTCTGGCAAGACAAGTTGGAACTGGATGATCTTTAAGGTCTCTTCCAACCCAAACCCCTCCATGATTCGATGATGCTCCAAGGAGGCTGCTGACAGGATGCTCTTCCAACAGCACGATCCAGACTAAAGACCCTGTTTTATGCATCACAGATGATAACAAAACTTTAACTTCAGCAAACTGAACCAGAAGTAGAGGCTTGGTCTTGGTCCCTGTGTGTGAAAAGTTTAATGCTTGATTATGGGAAATCACTGTTAGTTAAAAGAGACTATAAACCACTTACTGCCACTGTGAAAGGAGCTGGCAGTCAATGCCTTCCTCTTCAGTTAGTACGGCAGTTATTTTTTCAGTTACAAATTTCTGAATTGACGTGAAACATGGGAGACATTTAAAGGCTGCTGACAAACATTAGAGTGCATTTAGCAACTGTGCAAGGCAGCAAAGTCCAGAGCTAGATTTCTTATAACCTACAGAGAGTCCACAGTAAGTCCACATTGAGCTGATTATATCCCACCTGGGCAATCTTCCTCAGAAGTCACTGCAACTGGGAGCAGAAGGCTGCAGAGGTCCAGGACGCCAGTCCCCAGTTAGCAGTGAAGAGAAAGGATGCCCAGTGCTACGTGGAACTGTGTTTAACGGGACTGTAAAGGAGGTTTCTAAATGCTGCAGAACAAAAAATTGCAAAGGATATATGGAGACATGCAAAACCCTAACAAATTGCTTAGCAAGACATTGTGGATGACACTGAGAAGAATCCTGAGGCTGGTGATACATGCCAAAATAAATGCAATTTCAAGGGCTTGAGTCCATGCTGGCTGAGCAAAAAGTTAGTTCCTGGAAAAAAGCAGCATTCATTTGTCAATACCAACTGAATAAAAGCCTCCTACTCAGACACTCTTCAAACCTTTGGTATGAGTGATTACTCATAGCTATTTCTGCATTTGATGTGCTGAATTTGGCAATATCTGATAACAAGCCAAAGTTTACTACGTGTGTTTCTCAGCAGTTTGCAATGAGCTATGAGTTTCAACATAGAACAGCTAATCTCAGTTATCCCAAGGTCAGCAGAAAGTGGTATTTAAATAATAAACCTATTCTGATGAAGATTAAGATGACCCAGATACGTATCTAGCACTGTTACACTATATTTTACTCAAGTGCAAACCAGCACACCAGTGCTGTAAGAAGCCAAACCAAAGCACTGAATGTTTCTAGAAATGGCAATACTACTCTTGAATTTTCCCACTCGTGGAGCAATTCTGATTCAGTCTATTCACTATATCCTACTGTAGCAGAGTAATAACATTCACTATAGTTTTTTATATTTCTAGTATAATACTGTACTTTTATAATATCCTATTCTAGGATCCCAATGAACCATTATTTAAACCTCAACATGTCCATCATGGTAGGTCATTTTTGCTGTACCTTGTGGGTAAGTTAGAAGTGTGGCATGATCATTTAGGAACAAGGCATGAATGTAACATATACATGTGTGTGCATGTGCTCAGACATACTCTAACTGAGTGAAAAAAGGGGCTTTTAAAACCATTGCAGTACTTACGAATTGCGTGTACTTATGTACTCAGTAGAATATGCAGTTTAAGAAGATACATTTTGGGCTTTCCTAAAACACATACATAAATCAGGTGAGCTTTAGGTAAGGTATGTTGCGCACTTTTCCCAGTCCATCATAGCAAGTTATATAAAATACTGTGAAACAAGCATCAACCTTGTGTAATCCCAGTGGATTTCAGAGGAGTAAGAGTACAGAAAATACAACATAGCAAGACCAGTTAACAATGTGAGATTGGAAGGCAGTCTTTTCTAGAGAAAACAACTCACTACATTTGCACTTGGCAATGCACAGCAGCTGACAAATGGAAATCTGATGGGTGAGCAGGGATCAGGTCTGTAGGTTTAGCTAGGAAAGGGGAGCATACATCAGTTTTCACTAGGAAGAACAAAAATAAATCACTTGCAGGCTTGAGTTAGCAAAAAAGCTTTGAAGATGGAGCCTAGGAGGGTGGAGACAATGTAGTTCCCTGAATCTCTGTGTAATTCCATGTGTGGAAACATGCAACCACTCACCCTGACTTTGCATGGTACGGAAAGATCAATGTAGCCTCAAGAAACTTTCAGGGTATCAGTAAGATACAACACACGGGA